TAGGGCATGGTTTAGAATCANCCATAGGCATGGGACGGGTAGTGCACGCATAGGGCACGGTTTAGAATCAACTAGTGCGCTTTAGGTAAAAACTTAAAGATAGTAATCGGGTAGCAGGAGATGATAGTCTGTGCCCGCTGAATAATACGAGTAACACCGCACCTCGAGGGAGTTATGAAGTATTATTTATGTTGCACGGGGTGATCCTTTAGGCTAAAAAACTTAGGACCCCCCATCTTGTCTTTAAACCAATTATCTGTGTTTACTCAAGGACTTTCTAATAATGATTTTGTTTCAAACTTTTTGTTTTTCTCTCTGACTATTTGACTAATTCATATAATTCAAGTTCGGCAGGGACCCACAGTTGTGAACCTCGAAGAGTGCCTAACACCTTATCTTCGAGGTAATTTGAGCCTTTACCCGATCTTTGGTGATGCAAACTGGTTAAACCAGATTTATTTGCAAATAGGTGCCCTAACGCACCTCAAACTCGTTAGGTGGGGACTATCTCTTTTAACACCTTCCTTTAAAAGAATTGTCACGTATCGAAACCCGATTTCGCGAGAAAGAGGGGTGCGACAATCAATATCAATCCTCTCTTATTACACCTATTACGGCGTGCAACCCGATCTATAAGCACAGATCAATAAATGAAAGCAATTTAACAACTCAAATCACAAGAATCTCTACGATCAACGAATATGAAAGCAGAACCATAAAGGAAATCTCGTACCAAATCAAGAATTTGCTATAATTAATATTAAGCAGCAAGACAAGTCAAATAAATGACAATTAAAGAGTACAAGTAAGTCAATTAAGACAAGTAGCAGTTAATCATGGAAGTATGGAAGAAACTAGCATTTCATTGCGAGAACAATAAATGACAAGTAACCAATTAAGGCATAGGAAGCAATTAAAAGCATGAAATAGTTAAGACATGGAATAAAATAATTAATAAAATACGAAAAAGTATGGAAACAAGTATTTTGACGGCATATATACACTCGTCACCTCGCATATACACCGCTATATATGAATTTCATATAGCACATAACTCAAGGGTTCCTAATTCCTTCAAATCAAGGTTAGACCCAACACTTACCTCACTCCGCAATCAACTCAATGTTGAACCACGGCCTTGCCTTTCGAACAAGCCTCCAAACCAGCCAAATCTAGCAAATTATTGACCAAACGATTCAAAATAAGCTTTAGAAACTACTCACAAATGAAAGAGGTTAAATTTAGGTCATTATTGAAAAAGTTAACCCCGGACCCGCTTGATCAAAACTCGAGATTCAGATCAAAACTCGATTACTCATTCACCCCCGAGCCCGGTTATGTCATTAGTTTCGAAAGTCGACCTCAATTTGAGGTCTAAATCTCTAATTCTACCCAAATCCCTAATTTCTACCATGAAAATCCTAGATTTGACGTTGAAAACACTTAAAAAGTAATGGATAATTGAAAAGAAGTAGATTAAAGTCACTTACTAATGAATTTAGAAAGAAAATCTCTTGGGAAAATCGCCTCTAAGGTGTTTAGGGTTGAGAGTTTGAAAGAAATGAGCTAAATCCCATTTCCCCCCTCTTTTGTCTAGGCGCAGATGTCGCAATTGCAACTAGGGGTTCGCAATTGCGAACCTCGCAAATGCGAGAAAATCATCGCAATTGTGAAGGACTCCCATCTCTGCTTTTATCGCATTTGCGATAAATTGTTTGCAAATGCGAACTTGGACATGTCGCAAAAGTGACCCACTGATCGCAATTGCGACCAACTCCCAGGCCAGGCCAGGCCATCATCGCAAATGTGATGGGGAGTTCACAAATACGAACTCTTCATGCCACTGTGCTCTTCGAAAATGCGAGCATGAAGATCGCAAATGCGACTGTCGCAAATGCGATCAATGTCTCGCAAATGCGAGACCTGAGCACCACCAAAAATCTGATCTCTCTTGAATTCTCCGAAACGCGTCCGTAACTCACCCAAGCCCTCGGAGCTCCAAACCAAACATGCACACAAGTGTAACAATATCATACGAACTCGCTTGCGCGATCAAAATATTAAAATAACACCTAGAACTACGAATCGGACACCAAAACGAATGAAATTTTTAATGAAACTTAAGAACATAAAATTTCTCAACCGGACGTCCGAATCACGTCAAATCAACTCCGTTTTGCACCAAATTTTGCAGACAAGTCATAATTACTGAAACGAACCTATACCAAGTTCCGAAATCGAAATCCGAATTTGGTAACAACAAAGTCAACTCACGGTCAAATTTATGAATCCCTTAAACCTTTAAATTGCTAGTTTTCAGAAAACTGCGTTAATTCAAGTTAGGGACTTTCGAATTCGATTTCGGACATACGCCCAAGCCCCAAATCACGATACGGACCCACGGGACCGTCAAAATACTGATCCAGGTACGTTTACACAAAATATTGACCGTAGTTAATTCAAATGAGTTTTAAGGCACGATTTCACATTTTTGTCAATTTTCTCATAAAAACCTTCCGAAAAAAGGCCACAGATTGTGCACGCAAATCGAGGAAGGCTAAACGGAGCTATTCGAGATCTCGAAAACTATAAATGACCTATCGGGTCATCACAATGTATGTGAGTGTATTTACTGAAATTGTTTTCATGAAAAATAACTTTCATTGTACGCTCATTCAGCCCTGAAATCCTATAAAGTACATGTTTATGCCCAGGTTTTATGTTGATATTCTTCCTATTATATATGCTAGCACGTTAACAGCGCCTGCGACATTTTATATTTGTTGCCGTTTGACAAAAATAAAAGATAATATGGTTAAATTGAATAAGCTCTGAAAAGTCAAATTTGGACTGCAGGAATATATATCTTCCAATTTTTCATAGATCATAAGCTGGAATTTGATGACTGCTAGGCTGTTATTCAACACAATAAAGAGAATGGACCATATTCTGTCACTTCTGTTCTTGTATGGTGGAATGAATTTGGTAATTTTATTTAACGTATGATTGTTGAAGTACATATTTAATTACGTAAATTAGAGTTAAATGTAGTGATTGTTTTGGTTAACATTTCATGTTAGTTAGTTGGCTATGAGTTTTTGATTGTACTCATAATAGGAGGGGGTTTCTACATTTTTATTTTTACTTTCTTTTATGAATCTTAGTACCTAGTACTCCTTTATTATCAAGGTTGATCTTTGTGACATTTTGGTGGTAAAATAATATTTTGTGTGCTAAAAGTCAAAATACAGCTAGAAAGGAATGAAAAATATACTTCCATACTCAAAAAGTATATATATATATATATATATATATATATATATAGCCTCTCCCAAAAATAATAGCCGGCAAATATATTTTTTTATTTATTAATGTATAATATACATATTTTATATATATATATATATATATATATATATATATTTGACTAACATATCGGTCAATCCATATTCTACATCATGCAACAAGGGCATGGCTGGTCAATCCATATTTTACATCTTTGCATGACACCCATTACTCTTAAATTTAATTTTTACTATTTAATAAATACAAATTATATATATCGACAGCGTAGAAAAATTTATATATCATAGTGTAATTTAACCTACTACATAAAATATTTTTTACACTATTGCATTTATGAAAAGAATTTAAACTTGTACAGTTAATTTCTACTATCAATGAGCTTTGCAAAGAGCCAGAGTGGGGGCAAGGGAGCAAGTTAGACCGGCTAATAAATGTTTTAGCAGACTTTTATCCAAAAAGATCCCATGAATTTTTCTTTCTCCAATTGACAATACTCTTCAAATTACATAAGGTTGAGGTTTGTGAACGTCGTACCATTTTCAAAAAAATAAAATAAAAAATGCACCTGTATCTTGTACTGATTTAACTCTTTCCCCATGATAATTGTATACTATATTTTTGGTCTACAAGGTCAAGGACTGGATAATTGGATATCGAACATTACATTTATAAGATACAAAGCAACAGTTCTGTCAATGAGTTATCATTCAATTTTCAAAACTTATATTTAATTTTCGGCCCTTTTGTTGTACTCAGTTAAATGGTTAGCTTTCAACGTAGGACTTTTTTATAGTCAATGACTATAGAAATTTTTAATTTTAATTTTAGTATACACAATTTAAGTATACACAAGAATATACTAATTTAGATTTTGTATACGATAAAAATTGGTCTGAAGTTGGGTAAATTAGGAAGCAATACGTGTTAAGGATGACCATTAGTAATTCAACGATGGTGAACCGGACACAAACCTGTGGTCGGATAAGAAGCAATTCAAGATGTGACCGTTACAGAAGACCACAAGATTCCTCCGGCTGTTATTAGCCTTTATTACCCCTTATTATTCTTTATCATCTTTTAATTATCTTTTATTATATTATTAATATTGGTAGTTAAGGGGGCATGTTTATAATCATAGCTCCAGTATAAATAGAGACTTTAATTCTACCGTAAGGAGATCAAGAAAGACAGATAGTAAAAAATTAGTATTTTTTCTCTGTTCTTTGAAGCTTTATCCAAGTATTATCAAGATTTTCCATTTTTTCTTGATCTCGGTGGAGGCATTCTGAAGCTTAGGCTTGCCTTTTCTTCAATCATCTTTATTCACCTGTTTGCGTTTTACTATTTTATTTTTTCGGATTAATTTAATTCACGTATTTATAAAACTATATTATAAATTCAACTGTACCGTTTTATCGATTAACAGTAGTAAAAATTCTTCATTGCTTGAACATGAGTACCGGTGAAGTTTCCTTATTTGATTTTTAAACGCGCTCCTTCTTGTAAATTCTGCAGCTAAATGAAAAAAGAAAAGGAAGAAAAATCTAATGTATATAAAGAGATTTAGAGTAATAATTAAGAAAATATCCTTTTCATGTATTTATTGACTTAGTAGCAACTAGGTGTCAACCCCACGTTAGCCCCACAACTACCATACGAGAAAAATCAAACCCCATTATTATTTTCATAGACAGTTGAAATATCCCAACTACTACTGCTTACCCGCCATTTCTACCTCTTCATTTGGCATGAAAAGTCCAAATTCTCTATTTTCCGGTCGCCGGAGATCTAGTTCCGGCACCGGATCTATCTTCTCCAGCTCCATGACCCATTCACGTAGTACATCCACATACTCCTCCACTACTACATCTTCAAACAAGTCAACTTCCGGTAAAAATCCGGTCAAAATCGCCGCCAAAACCGTCGCTGAAGCTTTCGTTTCATGTTTCACTCCGCCTGAGACTAAATCTTCGAATAACAACTTTGGTGATTCCTCTGATTCATTTAAAGCTCCTTCAGGTATGTTGAAAAAGGATTTAAGCTATATATAATGAATTGTTTACACCATCGATGTAATTTAACATGTATAGCAAGTTACTTACGATTTATTTTAGGTTACTAATCGATGAACCCGAAATTACCTTTTAACTTAACTGATTGGTGTAAAAAAATTTTGCACTCTATGAGTTTGATTTTTATACACAACATAAAAGAATATTTTTGACACAATCGGCTCACCTGAAAGATAATTACATGTAACTGTTCGATGTCCATAGTGATCCGGAATATAAGGCAGAGTAGCCAGCTATAACATGTTAAAATGCATCGCTAGTGTAAAAGAAATTTTTTACACAATTAGGTCACCTGAAACATAACTATATATAACTGTCGAGTTATCCATAATTACCTTGAAAATGAGACAGGTAGTCTGGTACAACAGGTAAAAATACATTGGTATTGTGAAAACCTTTTTACTCTGCCAATGTATGTAATTTAAATTTGTCTTCGGTTTGCATGTTAATTAGTCTCTACATCTGTGTGCTTTTGAGGTTGATCAACCCAGTAATTTCATCATTTTGGCATTTGGGTTTGCCCATGAACAAAGAAAGATCCAGCATGTAAGCAGCGGGTGCACGTGAATCCGTTATTCTGCCCATGAACTAAACAATGCATGCAGAAAATTTATCGAAAATTTCATTATGTACCTTGTATATGCATAAAAATTTACACCTCTGACTATCCAACAAGAATACCATACACATGGTTTTTATCATATGGATGTTGAGGCTATGCTTTGAGTGAAAGGAAAATAATGCATTTGACATATTTGACATTCTATATTACTAATACAACAATTTTAGATGGATTCTACAAGAATGTGTTTGACTTCCAAGTTCTATTCCACATTATTGGTTATGGAAAGTTTATGTGTTTCTTATAATAAGAGTGTAAGAAAAGTATAAAATTTAACTTCCTAATATTCAATTTAAAGGTTAATATTATGGAACTCTGCATAGATCAGAACAGGCCATAGGGCATCTCGAGAAGTGAAGAAGTGAAACATTTTGCTTGATGATGTTAAAGAATTTTCTTGTTTTAGGAAGTTAAAAACCAACCTAAGTTCGAAATTGGATGCTTAGTTTCAAATGGAAGAAGAAATAAGCCAATTCCTTGATGCATTGAGGAGGACTGAGAGTTTAATGATGTTGTAATAGATTGCAAATCATGTGATGCCTTTACTGGATAAGGCCTTAGGGGCAGGGGTTGATAGCTTTTCGATCATCAGGGTATACGCACCTAAGGCGCTAGAAAAATTTAGCCAACAATTTGTAAAGGTTCTCAGCCATGATTTCTGTAGTTTATTAATTGGTGTAATTTGCCCACTATGACTTAAGTTATATATACTAATACTGTAAAAGAATTTTACACCAAGTTAAATTCTTTGCCACTATGGAATCATTTGCTTTCCTCTATTGCTTCCCTCGCAATCTCCATTTCAATTTGGCGATTTAAAAATCCAAGAATAGCTTAATAATCGATTTCAAAACTTCATCTGGAGGCATTAAGTAATTACATTTTTTTGTCCTTCCCTTTCTTTTTTTGCCTTGAATTAGGGTCCTTATAAGTAGCTGACTCATCGGGCAGTTGGAGCGGACTTTTTTGGGAAAAAGAACTTGAATAAGTTTGTTTTTATGAAGTAGTTGTCATTTTCTATCAGGAACGCTATTCAGCTGGATTTATTGCTGCAGAAGTTTTTCTGGTTTCATGTTTAAAATTCTCTGTTGCTGCAACCCTTCTTGTTATCCCGTTGACATGATTTTTTATCAAACCCTGATTGGGCACTTATATTGCACACAAAAAATTACAACAGGAGCAGGATATGGCATTGTCTCCCTTATACACATCAATTTGTTTCATTTAACGAAAATTGAATGACAGAATTTGTGTACAGTCGTGAGTTAAGAATTAGCTAGTTTGTTTGAATCCAGGAGCTGAAAGACTGCTGAAACTCCACTTAGTTTGTTTTTATTCAGTAGGAAAAGGAATTTCACTAATTACTGCAGAAAGATTCTTCACAATTTCGTTGGTTGGAAAATTTTCAGTTGCATCAGATGGCAGAAATGAGAGAAGACGCAGTAGAGGTCGAAGCATCTATGCTAGTGAAAATAATTCAATCCACGCAAAAGTGGCAGGAAGTGTTAAATTCACCATGGAAGAAATCTACAAGGCCACAAGGAACTTTTCCCCAAGCCTTAAAATTGGTCAAGGTGGTTTTGGGATAGTTTACAAGGGTCGCCTTGAGGATGGAACAGTTGTTGCAATCAAACGTGCCAAAAATGTGAGCTTACTATTAATTGTAAGCTTGTTCCTGTATATGTTCAAGAGCTTGAATATTGTCAAGAGTACTTAATTGCCTTGTATTTGCAGACCATACATGATAAACATTTGGGAGTTGAATTTCAAAGCGAGGTTCAAACTTTGGAAAAAATAGAACATCTGAATTTAGTAAAGTTTTATGGGTACTTGGAGCGTGGAGAAGAAAGGATTATCGTGGTTGAGTATGTTCCTAATGGAACTCTTAGAGAACACTTGGACTGTGAGTTCTTGGTCTTACTTCTGCAATTCGCAATTCCATCAATGTTTGGCTCCGGCATTTTTAATACTTATCCTTCATATTGATGACATTTAATGATGCAGGTGGTCCTGGAAATGTTCTTGATTTTGCATCAAGACTAGACATTGGAATAGATGTTGGACATGCAATTACATATTTGCATATGTATACTGGTAAATTTGTGTTATGAGCTTTCAGGTTTTCTTGATTCTTGGCTCAGATTTTCTATTCTTCCAGTATATCATAAAATAAAGATCGCTTTGGATGCAGATCACCCTATTATCCATCGAGATATCAAGTCTTCTAATATTCTGCTCACTGAAAACCTTCGAGCTAAGGTGGCTGACTTTGGCTTTGCAAGGCTAGCAGCTGACACTGAATCCGGAGCCACGCATGTCTCTACCCAAGTTAAAGGGACTGCCGGCTATCTAGATCCTGAATACCTCAGTACCTATCAACTTACTGAGAAGAGTGATGTCTATTCATTTGGTGTTTTACTTGTGGAACTTGTAACTGGAAGGCGTCCTATTGAGCCAAAAAGGGAAATCAAAGAGCGAATTACTGCAAGATGGGTATGCTTTTTTCCTAAGTTCATTGCAAAAAAGAGAAGTTTATTTAGTTATGATAATTCTTAATTGTTGGTTGAATGAAATTTTAATGGATATGAATTGACGTAGATGCTTATGTTGGACCATTCTCATTTCTTTTTTCGTCGAAAGAGTAGTTTAAACCTATCTACTTTTGATTTTTTTGGGGTCCTTCCTCTCTTCAAACAAACGAAAAGGGATAGAATCTGGCCGATTCCCAAAATGTCTTTCTGGCTATTTCTCAATGTCCCTGCTATTTATGGAACGTGAGAAGCAGATGATCAAACTATTGCCTTCCTGCTAATCGCTTTGAAGAGAAAAGGAAACAAAACAATAAATGTTCACTTTCATTGGTGCTTCCCCCTACACATATGTTGGAGTGAGGGCAGGAGCTAGCTTTTGGGGACAAGATTGATTGACTCACTCACTGGAATTGGTCTAGAATAGTTTGGAGGGGAGGTTACATCACTTCTTTTCTTTTCCGGCTAAATTAAAGGGACATACTTTCCACAGATGATTGATCATCTGTTTTCAGAGGTAAGCATCCCGTAGTAAGAGTAGTAGTTTCTGAACCCTGTAGACCAGCCCGCATGGCGGAGGTGAAGGTAGAACCAAATTGGCAGTAAACAACCCACAACCCCTTTGGGAAGATGCTAGCATTGTATCTTTGATTCAATCATCCCAATTCCTATCTCATGCAATTTTGGATTGATAGGTGAAATCACAAGTTATATCTTATAGCAAAAAATCTCTCAAGACCCTTTTTAACTGTATTTTCTTTTAGCTAGATAGGTTTATAAAGTATGTTTTTACACCATTTGTTCACCAATGAAGTGTTTGACAAAAGTTGGTTGATAAACAGGCAATGAAGAAGTTCACAAATGGAGATGCAATCTTAACTTTGGATCCAAGGCTAGAAAGATCTTCTGCAAATAGTTTGGCCATGGAAAAAATTTATGAACTAGCTTTGCAATGTTTGGCTCCTCATCGACACAATCGGCCTACTATGAGGAAGTGTGCTGAGATTCTATGGAGCATCCGCAAAGATTACAGAGAATTAGCAGGATGAAATACGCGCTCACTCTCTCTCGACTTGCAGAGCAGCCTATCAATTATAGAAGAATGAACGGAATGTATATGGTGAGAAAGATATCAATCAAAAGAAGACAAGATATATTTTGTGTCTGGTGTGATAGTTGCATAAACATTGGAATATAAAGATAGCTACTAATACATTTGAGGAAGAGATAAGTACATTGCAATTAAAGGAAGTTTGGGATTTTGGCAAAGACTGTGAAGGGGCAACTCCATACCATTGGCTTGTATATAGTAGTAATCTATTTAAGAAGGAAACTCAACAATTTTTTGGTATCTTTCTAGGGACTATATTTGAGTACATGCTTCGAAAATTTCATCCCAAGGAAAATATCATTTCCTCCCTTTTTCTTCTGATACAAAATTGTCATGGTTTCAACCACAAGGGTACAATATCTCTAGGTCGCAAGTTCAAATCCCGGTGTAGTTTTTTTTTTTCCTTTTTTAAATAAAATTTCCCTTGTTAAAATTTCTGGTGTCGCCGTTGCTTGTCACATAAAATATTTGGGAGGATGAGTGAAAATATTCTCTATCAAAGCTGTGCTAAGTCTAGTAATTTTAACTTGCTTATAGTTTAAAGCTAATTGCAGCCAATGCTAATGCAATGGATCCTGCAAGTAGATATCTCAATTGAAAATATTCCTCCCTAAATGCCTTTGACAAAATTATGAGTCCATGCTTTATGCTCTTTATAAATATTCGCTGCGTCCAATTGTCATGCTTAGATTATAAGAAATAGATTTGAACAAGTAATGGAATAGAAAGTTATTACCAATAATCTCTGGGAATGAGGATGGAGGAATCTGTTTTTGATATTTCTCAAATTTTCAGGTGGGGAAGGGGGAAGAATATCGGAAACAGCCTCTTTACCTTCAAGGTGGGGCAAGGTCTGCGTACATATTACCCTTTTCAGACTCCACTTATGGAATTATACTGGGTTTTTTGTTGTTGTTGTTGTTGTTGTTGTTGAAAAGGAGAACTGAGAAGAACGGGGGATGATATTTGCTATTAATTCATCCAAACTCAGTATTGACTTAAATTTTATATATGTATGAAAAATCACTAGATAAGCATAAGTAGAAGTAATAATTTTGAGCCTAGTAAACTAGACGGAATGAGGTAGAATTAAGTTCAAATCATGAATAGAATTTTGACACAATATAGTCGCCCAAAAGAATAGTCGGTAAATATATATATACACACAAAAATATTATTGTATATATTTTTTAGATATAGCTAGAGGTGTTTAACGGGCGGGTTGGGACGGGCTGTACACAAAAAAAATTAGCCTGTTCGTTTAACGTTCCGGGTTGTTAGCGGGTTGAATTAGCGGGTTGTTAGCAGGTTGTACTTTTTCGGGGGTTTTTTGGTCCGTCCGGATTCGGGCTGGGACCGACCGAGCGATTTTTTTTTTTTAATTTTTAAAGTAAATTTTATTTTTCTTATTCAATGTTATTGATACTTAAGTGTTTGCAAACTTTTAAGGCTCAAATTTAAAACTAATTTTAAAATTCAAATTTGAAAGTAAGTGGCTATAAAACATTATTTAATAAGACCAATAGGCAATATGTAAGAATCAAGCTCTGAAGGCTTTCATTTGATATTTTTATTGAATAATATATAATACTTCAAATTAAGTTGCAAGTTCTTTTTTGATTTTTTTATTTTTGAACTTGCAAATTAAAAGTTTACAACAATTATAAAAAATAAGAAATAGTACATCAGAAACTGAACTTGAAGGAATATTTGCATCTACAGCAGAAGAAGCATCAACAATGTTAGCATAATAATTATATAATGTTTTTAAATGTTTGTGTAGATCATAAATACAAGTGTCAATATTAGGAGTTTCCGTTGGTCCAATATCCATATAAGAATGTAAAGCACTGATTAATTAGCGATAAGTGGCCATTTTGATAGAAGAGTTTAAAATAGCACCAATTAGGTAAATAGGGGAAATTGGGTAGAAATATTTTTTAAACTTTTCTAGCATAGATTCAACAACAGAAGTATATCCTTCTTTCTTCTTCAAATTATGTAGTAAAAGAGAAATTTCAGCAATATGAACTAAACCATTTGCAATAGTAGGATAATAAGCTCCAGAAAACTCAAGTGTAGCCACATAAAATTTTTGTAAAAACTTTACAACATCTTCAATGACATCCCAAGTTCTAGATGTTAACAAACGGCTAGGATCGGTACAATGAGAATTAGCAACTTCAGTTATAGGCATTCTATATTTATAATAATATTTTAAGAATAAATAAGTATAATTCCACCTAGTAACTATTTCTTCAGGCATGAGTCTTGGTTTTAGTCCATATTGTACACATTTTTCTTTAAATGCATTTAATTTAGCACTTCTATTATCTCCTTGATACCGGGTTGAACCGGACTATAGCCCGTTAAAAACTCGTTAGCGGGCTTAGCGGGTTCCGGTGCATCGGTATGAAAAAACTATTCGTTTAAAACCCGCTCCCCGCCCAACCAGTCCCAGCCCGCCCCAATGCTACAGTACCGG